TTAGAAAATATCTTCATGGAACATGATCTTTACTTAATATCCTAATGATTTTTGACATAAAAGAAAAATGTATAATTTTGACCCATACAATGTATTTTTGGCTATTGCTACAAATATACCCCAGCGACTTAACACTGCTTTTGTGCTGCAGGGTCACAAATATATATATATAGTGAAACTGAAGTACTTGTATTAAGTCTATATCTATAAAACAGCATTAGAAGTTTAAAGCTCTCACAGACACTCACCAGACTCTCTCTCGGTCCTCTAGGAACTGTGGGAATGTTTTCTGCGCCAGCTGCTGCGATCAGAAGGTGGCGGTGTCGAGTCAGCAGCTCCGTGAGCACAGTCACGTGTGTCAGGCGTGTTACGGTCACCTGCGGCCCCCCGCCGAGCTGGAGCTGGAGAAACCCATCGCCGCCAGCTCCAACTGAGAGCCGCATCCGGCCCAATAAACCAACCCCTCGCTCACACAGAGCCGTAAGAGTTACTGACTTCTGTGCAACACTAAACAACACTTCAGCATCTGGGGCGAGTCACACACATCTTATCAGAAATTCAAAAGAATATTCAAAAGTGCAGTTCCTAAAAAAAAGTTCTCAAATATTTACTTAAGGTGAGACACTGCAGGTGAATAGGGTAAAAAAAATTAACTAATAGTTATCGCCAAACTCAGCTGATCAATTACATTAATAATTGCAAACATTTTTTGTATTACAAGTTTTCTAAAATGTTAGATTTAATTATGCTATTAAATATGTGCTAATTTGCATAAATTTCTAGTACAAAAATCTGAACACTGGATGAAGTCAGCTTCAAAATTCTTATTTAATATTTTGACAATTTGTGACCCTGCAGCACAAAAGCAGTCTTAAGTCGCTGGGGTATATTTGTAGCAATAGCCAACAATACATTGTATGGGTCAAAATTATAGATTTTTCTTTTATGCCAAAAATCATTAGGATATTAAGTAAAGATCATGTTCCATAAAGATATTTTGCAAATTTCCTACCGTAAATATATCAAAACTTAATGTTTGATTAGTAATATGCATTGCTAAGAACTTCATTTGGACAACTTTAAAGATGATTTTCTCAATATTTAGATTTGTTTGCACCCTCAGATTCCAGATTTTCAAATAGTTGTATCTCATCCAAATATTGTCCGATCCTAACAAACCATACATCAATGGAAAGCTATTTATTCAGCTTTCCTACTTTTTTTTAGATTGGTTTTGTGCTCCAGGGTCACATGTTAGAGTCAATCTTATGTTTGTCGCTCCATAATTCAGAAAATACTTAGAACAGACAGAAAACAATATATTTTCACAATTTTGGGGGGAATAAAATGTATATAATCAAGCAAATTATATATGACCAAATCACCGTAAAAACCTTCAGGATACAGACGGGAATAAAAATGTAAAGTGCTACTGAAGTGGAGATTTATGGCTCGGTGTAGGAGAAAAAAACTCATTTTGAGAAAACAGCTTTTGAAAATATGTAATTGAAATCTATTGACACAAATAGATAAACGGTGTCTTTTGGATGTTTTCTTTCCATCAGATGTTTTTTACCATCTAAAACAGTGTTTTTGCTTGCAGTGTCTCCTTTAAGAAGACAAACGAGCTAAATTTCTAATCAGTGCATGATGTTTCTTCCCAGATTCACTGATCGATGCAATGAAAAACACAAGTTTGACTGGATTCACAAAAATCTTCTCAAAAAATAAGTTAAGACATTTAAGACAAATTCCAAGAAGTTTGTACGATTCATGAAAATATGATGAAATTAGAGGTGCTCTATGTAATTTTTTGACTCTTCTAAAGCCAAAAAATAACACGTTTATAGATATTTAGGAAACGTCATGTCTATGAAAAACTGTAACTGAGTGCCAGTAACTGTACTCTGAAATGTGCATCAGTATTACATACTGCACCTTTAAGACATTTCCTAAGATTATTTTTAAGTTTGTACAATTCATAAATATTCTTAAAGACGTTAACATATTTCTTAAGATAAATTCCAAGAAGTTCATAAGATTTGCGAACATCTTCTGAAATTAAGACACTTCTTACGATAAATTGCAAGTTCTAATGCTTCACGGAAATATTCCTAAGAAAACATTTCTTACAATAAATTCCAAAATCTGTACGATTCACAAAAACCTTCTGAACACATTTAAATGACAAGTTCATTTGATTCATGTAAATGTTCTTAGAAAAGAAGACATTTCTTAAAGTTTTTGTGAATTGTGAACTTTATGGAATTCAAGTCATTTCTTATGATGAATTCCAAGGTCATGATACACAAAAATCTTCTTAAGAAAGAAAGAAAAGTGTGTAAGAATGTCTTATTTTTATTCTTAAGAAGAAAATGCCAGGCTTTATTAGGAATTTATCTGATTTCACCTAGATTCATAAAAATCTTCTTAAGAAAGAAGTTAAGATATTTCTAAAGATAAATTCCAGGAATATTCTTAAATGAAATTCTTGAATAAATTCTAAGCAAGTTTTAAAAATAATTATCAATGCTGCTGAATGAAAACTATATTAATTATACATTTAATTACACGTTTTTGTCGAGTTGTTACTAAATTTCAATAAATTCATTAAACGTCTTACCTTTGGGCATTTAAGACTAGTTTGAGGTTATTTTATTTTTTAATTACGGAAATATTTTATTATTTTTAAACTTTAAAAGTTATGATGATTTTAAGAACTTTTTTTTTTTTCAGGAAGTCAGATTCTTTATAAGAAACAACTTTCTGAAGAAATATATATATACATAATAAATATACACAGCACACATATATACTGTATATTATGTAAACAAAAACTTGTTTTTAATCGCGATTAATCGTTAAGACAGCACTAATTTTTAGGAATAGAAAATATTCTTAAATTTGAAAACAAGGAGAAAATATTAAGAATTTTATTCTTTGTGATTCTGGCCCCCGAGCTTCTCTTTTGATTATTTTTATATGGTCATGCTGCAAAAAGACTAAAAATGGTGCACAACGTTAATGTTAATAAGCTGGAGCTGCAGGGAAGGAAGAAACTCTTACGGGTTTGAAGCACCATGAGAGCGAGTAAATGATGACAGAACTTCATTTGTGAACGTCTTGTAGGACACGGCTCTTATAATCATGTTCTCCTGACGGATCTGCTCAGAGGAGTTTAGCACACTTGAATCTGTGTAATCTGTGTATATTATGTGACGTGTACAGCCCATGCAATGAAAGCCTGATGAACTCTAGCAATACATGCACAGGATCTCAGAGCGTGGCCTGACTCTCATCAGGACGATCTGTGTCTGATCTCAAACCCGTCTGCTGCTGCTTCGCTGATGAAAACTCCCACAATGCTGCTGTCTGTCCTGTTTGTACGAGCCGCCGCAGCCGCTGCTGTCGCTTATGGAGGCGCTTGTATGAATGAAACTAAAGCACAACACACTGCCAACCTGAACCACGTCTGTCTGGTTTTTGTATCATATTTGATCCATCAGGCTTTTATTGCTCATATAGACAGATATAGTGAGAATATGGAGGAAAAAGCTGCTTAATTTTATTCAAAAACTGAGCAAAAATATGCAATCTGGAGCAGATGCTGATATTTATATGATGGAATTCTGATGCTTGTAATGTAAATCAATGTAACTCTTTATAACAGATACTGAGATACAGTGATCTAAATATCAGTCGTCGCTCTATATCTCTAATAATATGTCTTCGTAAGACGAGATTGAAATGATCCAAACATATAATGCAATGATTATTGAGAGATGAAGAAATAAAATTAATCATTAAGAGCCTGAAGGAAAAGAAAAACTGCTTAATATGAAATACCCCACTGAAATTGAGATTTGCTGAATAAATAATCTTTCCATTGATGTATGGTTTTGTTAGGATAGGACAATATTTGAAAATCTGGAATCTGAGGGTGCAAAAAAATCTAAATATTGAGAAAATCTAAAGTTGTCCAAATGAAGTTCTTAGCAATGCATATTACTAATCAAAAATTAAGTTTTGATATATTTACGGTAGGAAATGTACAAAATATCTTCATGGAACATGATCTTTACTTAATATCCTAATGATTTTTGGCATAAAAGAAAAATGTATAATTTTGACCCATACAATGTATTGTTGGCTATTGCTACAAATATACCCCAGCGACTTAAGACTGCTTTTGTGCTCCAGGGTCACATATATTCTATGCAAACATGTAATTATGTGACTTAACTGCAGTGTTATCAATCAACTTTCCATGTGTGGCGGATCTATAAATTACCACAAAAATATATTTTGTAAATAAACGAGGAAGCATTTCCCAGAACCTGCTAAATTTACACTTCAATCTGCCGATGTTTAAACCAAATCAGGGTTATTATCAGAAGGTTGAACTAAAACGAAAAGATCCGGGGGAAAAGAAGTTACTTGAAATAAATCAAACCGAACCAAAAAAAAAAAAAAAGGCAATTTTTTTAACCTGAGATTCATAGCCAAACTACAGAGGGTTAAAAATGACTTCAGAAAGATAGCGGCGGCATCATTATATTAATTTTACACAGAGATCAGCAGGTCTATTAGTAAAATCTGTTGACTTCAGCAATCTTTGTAACATTATACACCAATGGTGACCATTTAAAAATGAGAGAGTTTTTTCTCCAAAGTTTGCATGCCTGTATTTCAAGTAGTATCGAAGATATCTTAACGTCCTTTTAGATATTGGGTCTCAAAAAAACATTCCTTTCGGCATCTTCGTTTTTTAAGGCCCTGTGTATGGTTCGGTTCCAGAGATATCTAAACATGGCTCCAGGAGTATATTGTTAAATTGCACACATTTTCAGCAGTCAAAAACCAAATGTGGGTCACTTTGCATAAATATGATACTTAATTTCTTTTAAAGAGGAATATCTGAAGAATACATAATCTCATTTCCTTCTGTCAAAACTGTATTGAATGCCATTATTCTTTTCCCAAAGTTTGAGTGCCTGAAACTCAAGAACTATTGAAGATATTACAATATGATTTTAGATTCTAGTTCCTTTTTTTTCTGTTGGAATCTTTGGAATCTTGGAATATTAAAAGTCAAACTAGAGCAGCATCAGACTCTTATAAGGTCAACATAAAATCAAAACGGACTTAATAAACGCTTTTGGTCTCATGATTCAATCCATTTCAAAATTCATCCTCATAATATTTCATCAAAACGTAACAACTCGCTCCACTTCAGAAATCATCTTGTCCCACATTTATTCTCATTAAATATTCAGTTTCACCTGAAAAAAAAAAAAAAAAGATTATAAAAGTACAGAAAAACTCAGACGCAGAGGCTCAGATAAAGATAAACTTTAGTTTATTAGTGGCTATAGATAATGCTATCAGACCATAATCATAAAAAATGAGAAAACAAGAAAGGCTACATCTCTGGTTAAACATCAGCGCGAATTTAGGGAACGGACATGAGAAGCAGGAACAGAACAAACCCGTCACAGCGTCTCATGCGGCAGAACGAGACAGATGAGGCGAAACGATCGCTGCGGCAGAGAGAGAGAGAGAGAAACCAGAGCGATTCCTTTAGTACTGATACATTCAGATCCTGAGCTCATCATTCAGAGAAGTAAAGCTCCCAAAGCCACACCGAACACGTTTAGTGCTGCCGGAGCTGGAGAGTGCCAGCTTGATTCAAGCAAAATCTGCCACTTTGAAGCAGTTTCGGACGATTTAAACGAGTTTCTCACATTCGTTATTTTTTTGGTTAACAAAAATAGACCCGCCTCGTTATTCGCTTCTTATAAAAAACATCACGTGGACGTATTTACAAGGTTAACGTGACATTCTGGAGGTTTACAAAGAGTCCCTTTCTGTCGAGACGGACGCTACGCTGTCGCCGGGGATTGTGGGAAGAGGAGAGGAGACAGAGGAAAGTAAAAAGTGTGTGTGTGTGAGAGTGTGAGAGTGTGAGTGTGTGTGTGAGAGTGTGAGTGTGTGTGTGTGTGTGTGTGTGTGTGTGTGTGTGTGTGTGTGTGTGTGCGAGAGAGTGTGTATGTGTGAGGTTTAGTAAACGCTGGCCGGATCTGTGTGTGATCGTCTGTGTTTGTAAGGCCTTGTGAGCGAGACGTTGTGCTGAGAGTTTCCTCATCCGGACGAGATCTGATGTTCTTGACTGATGACTCTTACACCGATGACTGATCCCACACCTGCTGGACACACAAACACACACCATTAACACCAGCAAGACCAGTCACAAGCTGTGTCCGAAACCTCTCACTCGTTCACTTATTCACTAATCCCTATATAGTGTATGGCAGTTGAGTGCACTATATAAGGAGTGAACGAAATAAATGAACGGATTCGGACGGTGACGTATACACTGCACGTGAGACTTGGAGCTGTTGCAAAAACATCGTCATGTACTTTATTTTAGAAAATAATATTAATAGCAATAACACTCAAAATGACTTTATATTGTAATTATACATACCTCTTCGTCAGCTTTGTGGTTTCATCGATGGTATATTATTAATTTGTTTTGTAATGCTTTTATGTTCATAATCATTAAATACTATTAAAATACTGAGATCAAAAATAAACACATTAACACATGTTCATAATTTTATGTATTTATTATTTTTAGTATCTTGACACTCTCACGAGCAGCGTTTTGAGCTCAGATAAGATAATTAACAGGCGACCGTTAATTTTACATCAGACTGAATACACTACCTACTGTGATTAACGAACATTTTTAAATTATCCACCAAATTATCATCATTTTTGTAAGTTAACAATGATGCCACCTCAGTAAATTAGTAAAATATTAAACTGAGTTATTGCCTACATAACATATTTTAATATAATGTATGAAATAAACGTTAAAGCAGAAATATCAAAGTTGTAATTGATGAAAATGAAAAAATTATTTTAACCATGCAGCAAACCGTTTTAAACATTTTGATAAATTACTGAAAAAAAGAATAAAATAATTAAATGACTTTTTAAACCGTTTAACTGATTGTATTAATCGGTCAAAATTCTTACCGTCTGTTAACCGGTTAAACTGAACATCCCTAGTTCAAACGGCTGATTCATTCAGACACGAAGCAAGTGACTACTGTCTTTATGAACGGGTTACTGAATCATTGACTCACTTGATTCATTCAAAAACGTGGATTCATTCAGTAACGAAACACCGCTGTGTGCTGCACGGTTAAACTTAATTTTAACTTCTTGTTTATTGAACTACTATTGTATAAAATCACACTGCAATCCTGTTGAAACATTTTCGTTGTGCAATGTTACGTACCTAAATCATATATTATACATTTCTTCTTTTTTTTTTTTTTTTACTACCGCAGTATGCATCTATAACTTTCTGGTTGTTCTGTTGCGCTCATTTGTTTTGATTTTTGCTCTCACGAGCCATCCTGAAATCTTCCACGTTTCATTCATTTTAATGTTGAAAGACCACGAAAGCAGTCTATACCGAAGATCTGAATTGTGAATGAGGTTATCAAAGTAAACAAAGGTGAATGAATTCAGGGAATAATGTCCGTTTTGTATTCCAGACTCTCTCTCACACACACACACACACACACACAAAC